CCGTGTGGAGCACGTGCACAGGGCGAAGAACACCCCACCCACCCCGACACACAGGGTCGAATGTTAGACAGCGCCAGGCGATCCAGGGTGATCCAAGGGGGGGGGCCGCCTAGGGGAAAAGAGATAGGAAAGTAGGGGGGCGTCTGGGTCTGGAAGGGATGAGGCGGTGTGAGGCGGTGTTAGGTGGTGTGAGGCGCTTCGGAGCGGAGCGGTCACGTCGCATCCTGTGGGCCCGCTCGAAGGGGAGGGCGCCGCCCTGCATGTGCAGTGGAAAGGGTTTTAGGGTGTTGTATTGGCGGCTCTTATTTTGTTCGTTCTTTCTGAATTGTGTTGTAGGAGGGGAGAAGTCTGGTGGCGCAGTGGGCCCTACCTACCATGAACCTCGTCGTCATCTTGCTTGGTTTGGATGATGTTTCTTTCATATATGTGGTAATGCTGTGGACCCTCGGTTTTGTTTGCTGCCACCGCAGCTGCGAGGGGGAGCTTGTTGTACACGAGTGAGGTGTACGGAGGGGTGTGGTGCCACGGCGGCAGGTGTGTGCGGCAGGAGTGCGAATGGCCACTGTTAGTTTGTTGCAGCAGCTGCAGCAGCAGCACGCGGACGATTCGCCTGAAGATCGGTCTGCCGAGTGTCGCTCATCCAGCTGCGATTCCGCTAGTGCACGTGTTACTACTACTGCTGTTACTATTGTTAGTGCTGATGTCACTTTTACAGTTGGAGCATGACCTCCTCCTCCCCCCCCCAGTCTGTGTGTGCGAGGGTGCCAATGAGCGGGGGGGGTTAGTGCCTTCTGAGATGGACGGTATGGCGCAACTTACAAGACGCAAGAAGGGTTCTTGGGGCCTAGGAGCCCCGCTAGGTGTATATTTGGGAGGTAAGAGCGAGGTAGGGTTGTGTACATTGTGGGGCTAAAAAAAGGGAATTTGGGAGCTCCGAAACCGGCTGTAACGCATGTGAGCCGCCTCGAATGTTTCGCCGGCTGTGGGCCTGTTGGTGTGATGTATCCCAAGGCGTACCTGGTGTGTTGGTCATTTGGGGAGACCGCGTGGTGGCGCCGCAGGGGCACCGTATATAATTATGGCTTCTGTTTGGTAGCAGCGATGTGTTTTCTTGGTGGACTAGTATTATTGCGACGGTGACGGTGACATGCTGTGATGGTGCCGTTGGTGTAGCGGTGGGGTGCTGTAGTAAGCTAAAGCAAAGCCAGTCGACCTGTGTGTCAGGTGAGCGACTGCTACAGGTGCAGCTAGCTAGTGTACATACCCTCCAAAGTGGAGCCAGCTGGGGTCGTCGCTCGATATTTATACATATATGGGCAAGTGCGGACATTTGCGGCTGCATCTCTGCGGGCCATTGCCATCATTATATGCATGTGCTGGTGTGCGGGCAAGGGGCCAAGGTGTCTCTTGGCTTTTATTCTCCTGGCTCTCGTCCAGTCGTCCTGTCGCCGAGTTGTACGACGTCCATCTTCCTGGATTTCTCCTCAGTGCGTGCATTATTGCTTACTGTACTACGTAATACAATAAGGATATGCGGGCGTTTTTCCCTGGCTCCATATGTAATATGTATGAGTCTATGTGCTGGTGGTCGGGTGCGGCGGGCACACACGTGTAATCACGTTAAGGTCAAACTTGAGGTCATTGGCAATGTTGATTCGTAAATCCTAGACCACCTTGACAATTGCTGCGTTTATTGGAAAAGGGCCCTTGGCGAAGGGAGGTGTGTATATGTTTGTGCATATGTGTATATGTTTGTGAATATGTGTAGACATACATGTCAGACGGATAGGAATGTGTCCTGTGGGGGTTATTGATGCTCCTACCATGCAGGCCATGCACTGCAAATCACACCCTACCCGGGACGGCGAGTTATTAGGAGGGCAATGGAACGTTATATGGTCGTTGTGGATGTTAAATAGTCATTTTCAGTGGTCGTTCAGGATACGTGTTCGGGTATGTGGAGGGAGAGCGTGCATTGGAAGGAACGCAGCAGCCTTGGAACAGGCAGCAGGGTTGGCAGCAGGTGTGTGTTGACTACTGCCTGCTTTAATAAAAACGTGCCTGTGGAAAATAATGATAGCCAAACACCATCAGTATGTTGCCACTGCGACAGGTGGGGCGGGGCCTGCAAGTTATGTAGGATGGGAACCACAGAGGCAGCAGTGGCCGGCACACGGTATGGAGATAAGTTCTTATTACCTGGTCGGTCGCGGGCCTTGGTTTGGCAGAGCTGTGTTTGTGGGTGTTTGTAACATTTGTGTGATGTGTGTGTGGGGATCTTGTTCTATCTGAGCCAGATATGAGCTCACGGCGTGCGCGCGGCGTTGGAAAAAGTTTGCATGGGAAATAAAGGCAGTTTATATGATGTTCGCTGGATGGGTGAGCCAGGGGTCGTCAGCAGCGACGATGGGTTGGCAGCATGGATGGGATGGAGCGCAGGGCGGGTAGGTTTGCTTGATGAAGCAACGACTGCCACTATATGCTTCGTCACTTTTTTATGTACAGAGAGCGGTACATACAGTCTGGACGCCTGCTGCTGCCTAGTTCATCACGTGCAAGTGTTGCGCGGTGCACCTGACAGGAGCGAAATGACATGAGAACATGATCATGACCAGCAAGTAGCATAATTAGGACATGCTGGTAATGTTCTCATGTCTCAACAGGACATGCCACACATATAGGATGCCGCATATAGCTTTAAAGACGGGTTTTCGTAGCCTAGACCGGCACCTACAATTTACCTTGCGATTGACGAACCGATAGGTTAATGTCCCTTGCTAGTCAAACCCAAAACAACCAACACACGCGATTTGGACTTGGATAGCTCAGGTTTGAATGGATGCCTGTAAAAGTCAGATGCGTGCAAGCCGTGCACCTAAGACCTAAGACCGAAGCGTAACCAACTCAGATGCGATTGGTTGGGTTATAGCTAACCGGTTGGGTTATCGACCCTTTTATGCCACAGGAGGTGTGGTGTGCGTGCAAGCTGCGGCGCACGTTGTTGCTTCTGTCCATGCTGCTTTGATTGCTGTGCGGCCGTGCGGTTTTTCTCGCTCTTTCCTAGGACTTCCTTGGAATAGCTATTTATGGCTCTCAGCTCATCGCCACACCGGCGCCCGACATGCTTGGCCCCCGCACAAATGAGTGCGGGATATGCCCGGTCTCGGCATTCATTCCTGGTGGACGCGCACGCGCACGCGCATGTAGGCAGGTTTTCCTGCTCCACTGCTTTGAACTTGATTCGCCCAGTTATACGAAAAACGAATTACTTAATCCAAGAAGCTATTGGCTTCCATGTTATGATGTGTGAAACAGGGGGGTGTATCTTAGCCCGTGGCAGCTACCCTGCGAAACCCTGCCTTCCCCGGTATTTCGGGGCACCCTCATCCAGTCACCCTAGTCAACTTTTCAGTGGATCGCTCAGATTCCGCACCCACCACCAGCATCCAACGGAATCTGCCGGGTCGACAGGGCTCAACTCCATTCCTTGTCGGCTCGCAGGTTAACTTTATCCCAGGTCACCACCGTCCATCAACTAGGGGCGCAATGTCTTCCACCATCGGAAGGACTTTTGATCCTGACGGATATTTCCCGGGGGCAATGGTCGCGCCTTACCAGTAGTGCCAAGCCCTAGAGTATATATATTATGTATATTATGTATGGGCGTGTAGAGTTTGGATCATAGCTCTGCAACTTGATATCCCAGTCGGCACCCCCCTGCAGAGGATTCACCGATGAACATCCAGATCTGATTTCTAGAGCCCCCACTAGGTTCCCACTTCCCGGCAAGCATCAGGCCCTATTTTTGACCATCGAGCTGACCGACCCATGGTTCATCGGTTCATTACCGCACGGCCCCAACAGCCAAAACCACACAGATAATCGAATTACCCCAAAATAGCCATCACCCACCCAACAACCCAGCCGCCCAACCATGCAAAATCATCCAATCGGCGCCTTGGACAACTGGAATTTTTTAAAGTACGACGCCACTTGCGACTTGGTGTACGGCCGGGTGGCAAGGCATGTTGGGAAGTCCTCCGGCTGTTCTACCCACAACTTGTGACCGATGCCGGCGGCGTTCAGTTGGTCGGATAGCTTCCGCAGCTGGGCCTCATCCTTCACCTCCAGAACCACCTGCATGCGCGATGGTGAGTGGAGTGGGAGTTGGTTCGTGATGGTGGGTGCAAGCCAGCGGTTGCACGGTGGGAAGCGTGCAGCATGAAAATGAGTCCTGCATCGCTGGGTGGATTCTTCCCTTTCGCTAAAGAGGTTTCAGGAGGTGCTGAAGAAACTGCTGAGTACCTCAGCAGGATGTCTGGCAGCGCTGCGGCGCCGTCCCAAACCATCCATCCAATACCCTTGTCCCGTGGTTACCTTCCGCATGTGGTCAATGTTTTCCGGTGCGAGGTATTGCTGCGTGGCTTCTTCGTCGCGATACGTCCACATTGCCGCTGAGGAGGCGTGGCAGGCCTGCGCCACAACGCTGCCCAGCGGCCATCCGTTGCTGGCCCAGAGGTCCTTGCGGACCACGACGTACTGAACCAGGAAATCCTGTTGAGACACCGCTGGTGATCCCCCATTTGCTATCGCCTGCGTTGCTGCCGCAGGATCTGCTGATCGGTCAGCAGCCCCTGCGTGTTCGGCTGACATGGCTTTGCGCTGGGGTGCTAATGACACGCTGCAAAAGTATGACCAGCAAAGGTGTTGTGAGGATTTTCTTAAGCTTAACCCTTTATGCCTGCTTGCGGTGAAAGGTGCGCCAACAGCTCTGATGGCCTTTGCGTGAACGCACCGAGCGCCTGCGGCTGTGCTCAAAATATTCATGGATGCACGTTCTTCAGCAAAGCTTTATTATTTCGGTCTTTCAGCTGAAATAATATGGCGCTTAGTAAAGCAAACGTCGTGAAAAAACTGTCAACGATTTTACATTCGAAATGCTCGCATCTTGGCTGTGCTCCTATGGATAACTTCAAATGATCAATGCGGCTAGCCTCTCTACATGAAATCATGAAAGGAGGTGAATTTGTAGCAGCACAGGATGGACACAGGGCTCGTCCAACCCACTGCAACCCAAAACAGGTATCGACCGTGCACCTTCGGTTATTCAGGACCTGCTCACAAGGGCCTCTGGCAGAATCTTTAACAAAGCTTTATGCAACGTGCATGTAGCAACACTTGAAAAATAAGATAGTGATGACCACCTCCTTGCTAGTAATTACTAACCTGCACTATCATTCTCCTTCTCCTGCCCCTCCTGGCCCCCACCTACTGCTACCCCGCCTCCTCCTCCTGATCCTGACACGCAGTACATTATTTAACATCTTCCAACACCATTCCATAAGCACACGCAGGTACGTGACACCGGTATGCCGTAGCCACCAGAGCCGGGTCCTGTTACATGGCTGAGACTCTCAAAAGAAGGAGCACCACTTTCATTTCAAGGTTTATCCACCTCCCAGCGCTCTTTCAGGACACTCTGAGGGCTCTCTTCCGCCGCTTCCGTACGGCATAATTTCGTGCATGCAGGTGGAGGATGTGCGAGTCGCTCAGGTGCATAAGGCCCAGCACCAGCTGCAGGACGCTCTGCTCCGGAGCCTGTACGGCATCGCATCCATTGGTCACCGCCAGAAGCCGCAGCAGGTAACGCAAGCAGAGACCGTGACAGGAGGGCTAAATGAATGGACTGGGGTTGGCGGTTGGCAGTTGGCGGTTTGTCATGTCGGTTGGGGATGGGCGTCCTGGCGGATGGAAAAGGATGCAGAGAGAAGCCGCGTTCTGATGAACAAAAACGTTTCGATAATCTAATAGTATAACTATCAGCTGCTGTTGTAATGTCGTATGTGTGTTTCTTTTGCTGTTATCACGGCCGCAGGCGGTTCAGAAGGCCTTACATGAAGGGCCAGGGATGCAGTGGTAGAACTCGATTGGCAGCAAAATACTGTACGGGGCGGCGCGGCGGCCAGCAGCAGCAGGAGGGGGCCCGGGTTTGGGGATGCGGGTGGCAGCGGCGCCACTGTGGAGGGTGAGGGTGGTGGTGGTGGAGGAGCAGCTGCATTGGCACCGCAGTGGCGCCGCCACCTCAGCAGACACCGCAGGCGGCCTCCAACGACTCACGAGTCATGCCCGACGCGGCGGCCACTGGCGACGCGACGGTGGAGCGGCAGCTGGCCCCGTTGCGGATTAGGTCCACTAGGGGGATTACTGCTGACGGGCTCTCTAGACCCCCGGGCAGTTGTGGACGGCTGGGGCCCCCCTTTCCGCCTCCTCCGGGGGCTTCTCCGGGAGCTTCTCTCCGTGGGAGGTGAGGTCTGCTTCTTTGTTACGCTACGCCTTTGAACAAGTACCCGTACGGCACTTGTATACAATCCCTCCTACATGCCGTCGTACAGTTCATCGTACAGGCTCTCACACGTGGCATGGAGACTACGTTGCATGGGAATGCCGTACAGCCCCTCGGGCAGCTAGCCATACATACCAACACGCAGGATAACGGTTTAGGTTTGGGTCTTTAGGTCGCTAGTCAGGTCAAGTCAGAGACTACATGTGTATACATCTGTATGTCTGTATGATGTAGTTACAGGGTGGTAAAGCTTCACCAGCGCCCCCCTTTCCCTTGGAGGCAGTTCCCTGCTCTCCCCTGCTAGAGGGGCACCCTAATCCATTCACCCCATCCGACTTCAGAATGTATTCGTTAGGTTCAGCAACTCACCACCAGCATCCAACCAAACCTAGCAGATCAACGGCTACTCAACATAGCTCCTGATCAGCTCGCAAGTTGATATAATTACGTCTTACACCATACACAAGATGGGGGGCCACCTCCCAATTCAACACCCCCCACACACACCGAGGGGTCGGCAAAAGAATTTGAACCCGGACACTCCGGGAGCAGAAGTCAGGCCTTAACCTTTGCCAGCCACCTGCCTGTCTGTCTGTATGCCTATATATGTTGTGTGTATGTGTGAGTCTGAACACTTCACTGCAAATGGGAGATATCGGAATTCATAAGCCGTACTGTTGTACTGCTTGTCGTCCTCCAGCGGTACAGCCGCGTAGCTGACAGCAGCAATGACGATGGTGGCGGTGGCGATGGCGGCCAGGGTGGCGGTGAAGCGGTAGCACCGGTGGTAGTGAGAACAGACAGCGGCTCTGGGGGGCCCCTCGGCAACACTCAGGGCATGGACTCGAGCACATAATCCACAGCAGCAGGGGGTCTATTGGTGTCGGTGCCGCTGCTGCCGCCAGTGGCAGCAGAGACAGCACTGTCCACATGCCTCCATGGGTGGTGACACGTCCAACGCTGCTCCTGCTGCGCCTCTTGTGAACACTCCAGGGCCCTGCAGACCGCCGCCGCCGCCGCCGCCACCGTCAGTAGTGACGTGCTGGATGCCGTACACTCTGTACAACAGGTTCGGGTATTGATGGCGCTGACAGTGGTGCAGGTCCAGGAGCTCCAGACCTGCTGCGTGGGAATGCTGGCAGCAGTGGCTGTAGCAGCCGACCGCTGAAAAGGTCTCTCGAGTTGCTGGCGGTCGCGCTCTGCGCGTATTTATAGCACCGTACTGTGTACCGGCTGCTACAGTGGCACTCAGCACCGCCGGATGCAAGGCCATTTGCGCTCAGCTGGGGCTTACATCGTACATCGCGTCACTACTTGAGCTGCCAGATGTTGATGATGGCGTGCCGCCACTGCGCTCGACAGCTGCTGCTCTGAGTGGAAGTGGGCAGGAGCTTAGGTGTGCCACCGGACTTCAACAGGAAGGTAAACCCCCAAGGTTAGAAACCCTAACAAAAAAACTCCTTCACAGTGATGTTTCATCGTGATAACCAACTTGCATCGAGCCCGTGTCGAGCTCGGCCTGCAGCCAGATACGGCTACTGGTGGCGGTCGAGATGCTTCACGTGCAGCTGCCCAGCAATGTCGGCGCTGCAGACCGTGCCTGCATCCATGCCGCCGCAGCATGCGCGCATGGGAAAACGAACACTTGCCCGGCCACAAAAGTTGCGGTTTCGTGGCGGCAGCTGCGGCAGCGATCTGAGGCTGCCAAGGGTACAGCGACCCGGTGGGCTGCCACTGAAGAGGAGAAGGTGGTGCTGTCCAAGCTCATTTGGCTGCTGGCTGCCATAGGGAGCAGCAGTGGCGGTGGCGGTGGCGGTGGCGGTGGCGGTGGCGGTGGCGGTGGCGGTGGCGGTGGCGGTGGCGGTGGCGGTGGCGGTGGCGGTGGCGGTGGCGGTGGCGGTGGCGGTGGCGGTGGCGGTGGCGGTGGCGGTGGCGGTGGCGGTGGCGGTGGCGGTGGCGGTGGCGGTGGCGGTGGCGGTGGCGGTGGCGGTGGCGGTGGCGGTGGCGGTGGCGGTGGCGGTGGCGGTGGCGGTGGCGGTGGCGGTGGTGGTGGTGGTGGAGTGTGCCGCTGTCGATGCTGCCAGTGCACTGTGGCAGCTGGTGGCCAGCGGCACTGTGCATCTGGAGGTACTGTTTTCTCTGACCTGGAGGTGAACCTTGTGTCGGTTCTTGGGAGCCCTGGGGTGGCGGAGGCGGACTAGGGGCACTTGGCGGTGCTGCACCTGGCTATGCTAGGACTGGTGTCGTGCCTGGCATGCTGTACGGCACTCGCGCGGCGGCTGTTGGCATTGCCACTGCTGCTGGCGGTGATGGTGTACGGGCTGGCATGGTGTTGTTGTGCTGACGGTGGCAGGTAGGCGTGGATGCCTGGGGTTGAGTGCATGCGGGGTGTATGCCACACGTTGTGCCGTGCATGCCACATTGTGGATCGTGGTTTTGTAGTGGGGACGGGCAAGCGGGTGGATAAATGGCGCCTTATGGAGCGGTTCACTCGGGGAACGACTTGATCATGGACGGGTTTTCCAGTCATGGATCAGGTCATGAAAATTGTCATGGATCCGCTCATAATTTTGTCACCAAGTCATGGATCCAGTCATGGAACAGTTCATAGTTTGCAAAAGCCAAGTGCAAGATATGAATTGAATTGAATTATTACAGAGTGGGAGGTTTCTGGGCCATTTGAACACAAGATATGACTGGTACCCAGGGGGTCGTAAAGTCGGTCATATACCTGCTCATAAATATCTATGACATGTGGAACATGACCAGGTCATGTTGCGCATGGTATTCCATGATGCAGCAATGCAGGCCATGACCACTCTGGCACATGTTTTGCACTCATTTCATGAGTTGTATACTGCGGTCCATGACCACTCCGGCACATGTTTTGCTTGGTTTACAGGAATTGTATACTGCAAGCCATGACCACTGTGGCCCATGTTTTGCACACATCCCACAAGTTATTCACTGTGGGCTTATAAGTCATGACCAGCAACCCATCATCCCGTGGGCTCCAAACCCCAAGTCAGCCATGTATGTACTTGTAGTGAGTCTGGTTGAGAAGCATCAAAATACAGCGAAATGTAGCAGCGGAAAACAGACCAAAATAGGTGGTAAAGGTGCGAGGTGGGTGTGACCACGACACCAGTAGTAATAGCAGCGCTAGACTACTCATGCCTACCAGGCATCCGCACCGAATTATATACGAGATCGGTAACTGGTGATCGTAGCCCTGCGGGACTTCTCTTAACCTTCCTTGATAGGATAGGTCGATCGACGCGACTGTATGATTGACGACTGTCACACTTTACACCACCGACAACCTGTCAGTTGATCTCAGTCTCGAACGTTGGAACGTCCGTTCGATATCCAACTGGGATATGCTGGGATTCGTTAATTACATAACCATACTGGTTAGATTGACCAACCATAGGCCACAACTTAGATTGACCAACCATAGGCCACAACATTTATCCCCTCCTTTTAGGAGTCGTGTCCTCACGACTACGGGACTTAATGAACTGCAATTCAGCAGCCATATCCGGTGTAAAGTGGTCAGCTGGTTCCCAACTGTTATGTTCCGACTCGAAACCTTTCCACTTAACCAGATATTCATCGACGTACTTACGTCCCACCTTCCGGCGGCGATAGTCCAATACTCGGTCTATCGGATAAGTAGTATCCTCAGAGAACTCCTCCGGTAATTGCTCAACAGGCAACGGTTGAAAAGTACCATCGGTACGGTAGGGCTTAACAAGCGATACATGAAATACATTATGTATCTTCAAGTTGCTTGGAAGCTTCAGCTTCACAGCGACATTTCCTACCATTTGTTCGACCTCGAACGGGCCACACCAACGAGGCGTGAGTTTACGAATGTCCTTACCTCGCAAACGCAAGTTTTTAGTACTTAATAAAACAAGTTGTCTTGGCTCAAACAAAACATCCCTTTTCTTGGCGTTGTAGTGTTGCTCAGTACGACTTTGAGCCGCCAATAAACATCGTTTAGCATCAGCTAGGCGTTGTTCCAGTGTTTGCACAAATGCCTTAGCTGTTGGTACAGTAACATCTAACTCTCGTACAGTAGGTGTTGCAGGATGATAACCGTAATTTAGAAAGAAGGGTGTTTGACCAGTAGACCGGTTTACCGAATTGTTAACAGCAAATTCCGCCAAGGATAAAACTTTATCCCACGTGGATGGAGATCCATCACAGTAATTTCGCAACATGTCGGCCAGCACACGGTTCATGCGCTCTGTTTGACCATCGGTCTGTGGATGGAATGCTGTAGACAGATCTGAACGAAGATCGACCATACGAGCCATATGTTGCCAGAACATTCCAGCAAACTGCGGTCCTCTATCAGAGACTGTTGTTTTGGGTAATCCATGCAATCGAACAACGTTTGCAAGGAACAACTCTGCAGTTTTCTCGGCTGTGACATGCGTATTGGTTGGTACAAAATGAGCCATCTTGGTGAGACGATCCACCATAACAAAAATGGCGTCATGTTGTCGTTGCGTACGCGGCAAACCTACCACAAAATCCATTGAGACACTGTCCCACGGCATGTCTGGTATTGGCAACGGTTGCAACAAACCATGTTGTCGCCCTGACAAGGTTTTGTTACGTTGACATTTATCACAACAACGTACGAAAGACTCGATATCTGCTGTTATCCCAGGCCACCAATGGTGTCGTTGTACTAACTAAAGGGTGCGAGCGACTCCTGGGTGTCCACCCATGGGTCCTCCATGACAGCGAGTTATCAGTTCTTGTCGTAGTTGGGGCTCACATGGAACGACAATACTTCGACGTCCCGTAGGCATCGCCTTGAGCCAGTAGCCTTGTTCATTACGGAACAACGTAGCTACGTTTAGTGATTGACCGAACCAAGGATCCTTAGCATACCCAGCCAGGATACGTTCTCGAAGCGTACATGCTTTCGTCCTTCGGGTTATCGCATTCAGTGAGGGATGTCGACTGAGAGCATCAGCTACATTCAGTTTCCCAGCACGATGTTCCCACAATAAATGAAATCGACTGAGGAACTCAAGCCAACGTGCTTGCCTTCGATTTAACGTGGGTTGCGTTTTGAGGTAAATTAACGGGTGATGATCCGTTACCACGCGTACGTCATGTGGTCCTTCGAGATAGCATCGCCACTCTCTTAGGGCATGGATTACACCAAGCAATTCCCGCTCTCCCGTTGTATAGTTCCGCTCAGCTGGCGTGAACTTTTTACTGGTGAACGCAATAGGGGCTCCATCTTGGAGAAGTACAGCACCTGTTCCCCTTAACGATGCGTCCGAAATTACCTCAAAAGAGAACGGTTTGGTCAAATCAGGGTACCGAAGCAAGACATCGTCTGCCAAGGCTTTCTTTACTACCTCAAAGGCTTCACGTGCCGAGGGAGTCCACTCGGGCAATATGTTTGCTTTACCACAAAGCATATCGGTTAGGGGTGCCGACAACGCAGCATATGACCGAATATATTTACGAAAATAATTGGTCAACCCCAAGAACTGACGCAGCTCGGTAATCGAGTTAGGTAACGGCCAGTCACGCACAACGCGGACTTTCTTGGGATCAGGACGTACACCTGACGTACTGATAATATGTCCCAGGTACTCTAACTCTGTTTGTGCCCAGTGACATTTTGAGGCTTTGGCGTGGAGACGTTCCCGCCTGAGCACTTCGAAAACCTGTTCCAGGTGTCGTAAATGCTCTTCACGACTTCGTGAATGAATCAAGATATCATCCAGGTACACCACCACAAAGCGACCAATAAACGGTTCCAGGATACGATTCATAACTGTTTGAAACGTAGCGGGAGCATTGGTCAGACCGAACGGTAACACTACATACTCATAGTGACCGAGGGGTGTCCGGAACGCCGTTTGCGGAACATCTTCGTTACGAATACGAATTTGGTTATATCTGTAGCGACTTCCAGCTGGTCATAGAGAACTGAGTTTGACGGCTTTGGTTGCGTATTGTTCCGGGCATAGCAGGAGGCCGAATATTGCCATATCGTTAATTAGAAACTATAAACGCGTTGAGAACGGTCATATGCTTACGGCGCACCGCATAAAGACTGACGATGTATGTTTCGATCTGGCGACGTAGAAGCAGGCGATTTGTGTCTTACGATCTAGCTTCGGTCTGAGAAATGTTCTATGACAAATCTCCTGTACTAGTTTCTTCTCAGTTTCCGTTGGCCGCCATGAACCTGGCCCGGAGCTGCGTTAACTGGTAGTTACCGTTGCGTAATGAAGCAGTTGCTGCGCGAAAAGGGTAGCTGCGTCTTACGTTGACCATACGACAGTTGTACGAATGGCGGGCGCGTTTGCCATATATAAGGCGCGGCCTGACCAATGTTTTCCAATCATACAACTCCCGCGCACGGTAGCAGGACGCACCGGCCAAGGCAGTTTGTAACGGGTATCGCCTTCACTTGGCGTGGATGACTCCCACCCATTTTATCTTGTCAACAACCGGCTAGGTTCCAACCTGACATTGGGCCTAGTGGCCAAGAAGCAGTAAAACTCTGCTCACATCAGGCCCACAACCACACCTGGGCCTACGGTCTCAGGACAAAACTCTGATTCTGCTTCCGCTCGCGCACACAAATCTCGATCCTATCTCGCTTAAGACAATCTACTGGTATCGATTCCTTTCTCTAAACGATCCTGGGCGCCCCGGTGTGTCCATCCAGCGGTTCCCCCAAACGCGAAAATTTTTGGGCTGCCGCTGGGTGCCGCCCGCCGCGGCGCGGCTGGTATCGAGACTAGGGTTTCAGCCCTGTCTCTAGCTACTTTCAAACAGTCTGCTAGGCGTCCCACTGGTTGTACGTCTCGTACGCCATGGAGAGCCAACATCAATCTCACTTTATCACACACCCTCATCCCTCAAGCGTCTCGTCTGTGCCTATCTTCCGACTGGGAGACAGTGCACGGCAATGGGTCGCCAGGGTTGAGAGATGTGGTCGGATGTACGGCTGGAGCGAAGAGGCTCAGCTGGACGTCGCCATCTGCCGCCAAGGAGATGAGGCCATCTGCTGGCAAGCCGGCATGGAAGCGTCTCTCCCCGATTGGCCTAGCTTTAAAGCCGCGTTTCTGGAACGATTCGATCCGACCCAAGAAGAGTTGTTCAGCCGACTAGCTCATTGTAGGCAAGAACGGGGCGAAGCTGTACGGACATATGCTGACCGCTACCGCGACCTAGCTGCACAACTAGGCGTGGACACGCAACACGACCCCATCCACATGCATAACTTCTTACAAGGACTACAGCTCAAGGTTTACAACAAGGTTTTCCTCATGCGCCCATCTAGCTCTGAAGACGCCGTACGATGCGCCATCTATATCAACGAGGGCTTGGACCGCCAGGATGTGGCTGGCCACTACGAACCGTTTCCCCCTCAGCGCACACGCGATATGGATTTCCACAGCCATCCTTCTCGGGCTACCCCGCGCTGGGAAAACCGTCACGGCGACCTTCGTGGTAACGTGCCTGATTCCCCGACCCCTAGCGGCTCACGACCGGATGGTCCCCGGACTCCAGTGGCTACACAACGTCCCTTGGGACCATGGCAACCAGAGCAGAAGCCTGCTGGGAATGCTTCCTGGCAGAGTCGCCCAAAACCTAAGGTTTCGACACCCCCAGAGAACGAACCCCTGGAGTCACGAGTTGACGACATCGCCCGCCAGTTGTCACGATTAACCCTGTTGCTGGAGCGCAACCACAATGTACAATTGTGGGAAAGGGATAACACTCATCATGAAGACCCACATTTTTCCCAGATGGAGCATCCGGACATCTACTCTTGTTTCCGGCCGGCTGCCCCACCAGCTGCATATGTCAAACGTGTGGCCGATTTTGAGCCTATACCGCTTCCCTGCAAGCGCCCAACGGCTAACCCTGGCCAGGATGCGCCTCGGCCTACTACTACCGGGCGTATAGGCATTGTACGACCCGTGGTGACACCGTTGGCTTCCCCGAATGCCCCGGCTACGGCTACCCAGGCTCATCAGCCACAGGAGCCAGCAGCCCCGGGTGCGCCACCTCCAGAACGTACTGCCGCAACCGGAGGTACCGTCCCAGCTCAGCGAGGCATTGCCAGCGCTGAACCTCGTCTCCGTCGACGAGTAGCTGAGTCTGGCAGCCGCACCGATCCGATTCCTGCGGACCCACAAGAGGAAGAACGGCGTATTGCTGAGGACATCATCCATAAGGTCAACAAGTATGCACTACCATTGAGTACAACGCTACGGTGCAACCCTATTAGCATCTACACGAAGGTCGGCAGCCGAGTCCTTGGGTTGGCTCGTCAGCC